ACTATGTTACCGTTTCATACAAAAGGGCTATTGTCCGCAATTCCTTTGCCACGCACAATAATGTCGTCACTGAAACTGATAYAAAAATATGCAAACTTAAACTGTATATATTCAAGGTTTGGTCATGCAGATATGGTAAGCCAATATGGAGTATAAATCAAGTTTCTTAAATTAGAGAGCAATTCGTCGAACCGTATCGGGAGAAGAAAACAAAATCTCGAAAATGACGAAAACTGACGTCAAGGGAAATAACTACTTGAAACTAGAAACGAACRTTTTGACRCGAAATARTTACAAAACCGTCCAGAGCTTTGAAWTGTTTCATYAAAAYCAGTCAATACAAGWGAAATTTTCCGGAAAGTAAAGCTGGGGTTGCTGGGCGGATGAATTCTTTTAATTTATTYCATATATTCATGCTCACTTTAGCAAATTCTGCAAGAATTCAAAGAAAGTTTTAATGAATACTGAAAAAATATTCATGAAGAGGTAGATATCTTTTGTGAACAGCTTTTATTTATGGTTATTCAAGGAATTTTTTCAATTCGACGCCATTTTGAATCTGATGAAACTGTTTTTAGAGATATCAAATTTTTATCCAAACGACGCATTTTCCTTCTAAACTTTTCAATYTTTTAATAGGTTATAATTTTACAGTTTGAAGAAATAATTAAGAATAATCAAGAAATAAGGAATGTCAAGGAATGATAAATGTTTTCAATCAGAGAAATGATTGATGCCGCCATCTTGTCTCGTTGACTAAATAATTTTCAAACGATAGTTCTTGAACAACAATTGMTCGTATAATGATTTGCTATCTTTTGGAAAAAACCTTTATCTATATAAATACTGTTCTTTCTGTTTGACTTAAACTATAACTTTAAGATCAACTACTTATGAAGGAAACATTTGTATAAGAATGCTTTTGAATCTGTATCAATTTTTTTTTCTAAAACTTACGACATGTTTTGAGACTTTTTGGGTGCGTGCTAAGTGTTAACGTTATAATAATTTGTAAAAATTAAGTTCCATATAACTAAGCCAATCCAACTTCAAACTCTACTAGATAGATAACATTTATAGAATCAAAACTATATTCAAATATATCATGTCCTTGATGAGTTTTTCAAATTTGTACTCATACAAAAACACCAAAACACACTTAACAASCAGAATARCGACACATGATAGAGTTTCAAAACTMTKCACAATTACAGCTGAAGTTTTGCATTATRATAGTTAGAACCTACTTGATAAGGAAGCCATCTTAACATGAAGCGACGARATGACTAAAACACACGCTATCCTCCATATATCCATGGCGTATTTTCTCAGAAAGTAGCTTATCTTTTTGMTGTTGTAAAGTAGTTATAGGTGTRCTAAAGCCATAAAACTCTAATTTTTGTGGTTATAGGAAAGATGTTATGTTCTAACCGGTAATGTCCATAACGTAAGCTAATCAATTGGACATGATTTATAACTTTGAAGTAGTGATTTCTCAGCTTCTGTGAGGGGGTCGACTGGAAATGATATAGATAACGATATATCTTATCAACATACTAGACAATATTTTAGAAAATTGGAAAAATTAAACTTAAAAAACTTTTCCATGCTTTCAAGAGTYGTGTTGATCAAAARGTARGGTATTGAATTTTCGATTCAATAGCAAAAAGGTGAAAAGAGGCGTTTTAAAATACATACATGATAATAATTAATATAAGAAATGTTTGCAATTTTACAATTTCCTGATAAGACCTAAAATAGCCCCTTATATTAAACCCACTAATATACTTAATTGGTCCCAAGCTCAGAAAGTTTTCTCCGGTTCRAYTAGCCCTCAACTMCATGACGTCACTAACAAGTTGTCACGGCAACGACATTTTTGTGCGTTTCACGTTGTTGTTGACTACAAGAAGACTAAGTACAGGGACATTTGTTGCCAGGTGCTGGTTCATCAATCGTGATATGTGACATATATGAAGCACGTATAGTGTCTATCGTTTTGTCAGTACCTTGAAGTCACTCTACATAGCAGAATTTACCTCTTTTAACTCGCTCGCTTCGCATCAAAAYTGATTCTTTAATAGTAAGCAACCTTTGTGTTTTCATTCGACATTGGCAGTTTGATTAAATCTCATTCTACAGCTGTTTGGGTCCCACCAAAGTCTAGTTGACACACAGGTAACCCAAGCGAGAAAACTGACAACTCAAAATCAATRACAAAATAAAAAATGCACTAATAAACAAAGAGAAAGTATCCATCTATCAGAAAAGAATAAAAGATTAAGGAATMGAAAACATAAAAAATACAACAAGACAAAAAAGAAAAATATATATTTTATGGCCGAAAACTGAGAAAAAACAAAACAAAAAACGATTGGGAATTTTTTTCATTTAATCTCTCTTCGATGTCACTTTTCAAACATCCCCATCGTACAAGACTCAGGTTACCTTAATCACTTTTGGTTTCTGTGGTCACTAATTAGAATGTTACTATGATTCTCAACTTCGAATTCTGTGTCATTTTCTGAAACAAAATACCATGTGGGAAATATAGTCACTCGCTGATTTTGTTTCTTGTTAACAATTAAATAATTGCTTCTTTTTCATAGAAATCAAAATGGCGTCGCTGCAAAGAGAAACGCGAGAGAATTATGGTTTCTGTTACGAAAGGCCTTATGGGGCCTCTCGTCACAATGTCATGGTGTTGAGTGACCGAACCGTAACCATCAACTTGTAGCAGGCGTTCCTTGCGAGTCCTTGATATGTTTTTAAAGTTGAAAAGAGAAAATCTCTAGAGAAAAAAAAAAACGAAGTAACAACAGCAAAGAAAAAGAAGAAAAGAACAAGAAAAAAAGAAATAAGAAAAGAAAACAAGCAAAAGGCAAAAAAGAAACAAGCAAAAAAATAGAAATACCAGAAGCAGGACTCGAACTCAGAACTTTCATTTCAGGAGAAGATGTACCCCCCCCGGAATACATAAGAAATAAGTGAAAATAAAAAACTAAAAAGATGGGACGATTCCCCCGAGACATTCTATGAAGCTGAGGCGGCGAATCGGCTTACGTTACGGTTAGAGATTTCGGCCCTTCCACGCTATCCCGAGTGAACATAAAACTTAGTCTTAACCAAAAGGCCAGGGAGTGAGGGGGTAGCCGCCCACTAGAGCATACCTTTAGCTACCCTCTTAGACCATCGTACTATRAAGACACTTRTAAATCTAATATCTAATTGGGGTAGTCTATTCGGTGAAGTTCTATGCTAATACATGACGTCACCAAAATCCTTAGGGATCAGCGAGCCAATCAGAGCTCAGTTCAAAAATTAGCAAACGATACAGGCTTTGCATAATCATTCTTCAGTGGATTTATTATTTGATGGGGGTGGGGGTGGGGTTCGATGGAATATGACGGCTTTCACCAWTGTGTTAAATTGTCGTTATTGTTTTCCAAATCATCACAGGAAAATTAGGTGTACAGTTCTTATATCAGACAGACATTATCAGTATTCGGATAAACACCACGGCACTATAATCTCGATTGAAATTCTTTACGCAAGTGTTTAACAGACCAGGCTGATACTAGCTGTTGCCAAAGATTTGCCGGGATTCAACGGAACACAATTAAAGACCTCTGAAGGTCCAACATTACACAGTCGAACGTTCCACATCTTCGTTCTTGATCGATATGAAAGTTTACAAATGGATTAATATTGATTATCAAAATTGAATGTAAATATAGTGAATGTTAGGATGTTAACAGAGAGGATGAATGATAGTCCGTATAAGATCAATAAAGGATCTTGAAATCTTGAAGGGGGAAAACAACTTAACAATCTTTGAGTTAATTTTATTGCAAAGCTATAATCAGGCGAATGATAGTAATTAACTTGGATGTAAAAATACAGTTTAGATAATACAAACATTTTATCGAAGAAAAGTTTAAATTTTATCATAGGTTTTTAAGTCAACAGATGCAGAAAGATGCCTTTGGCTACAGCTAATAAATTGGCTTTTTGCATGAAACGATCACATGGTACACAATCCACCATACTGGATGGCAAAATACCCACTGGGATGTTCAAAACAAAGAAAAGTCAAGCTTGACGGGCTGCGTTCATTTTGTTCTTGAGGTTATTTACATTCTTTCTGTATGGCGGATTTTTTGCCGTGTGACCGTTTCATGCAAAATAAGGCCTATTAATTTAAAAGATCTAAGGACTCCATGTCGTGGATAAAAATCCCTTTCCGAATCTTTCAAATGAATAAAACAACAACAACAACAACAAAAACAACAATTTTAAATAATTTCACACTACAAAATTACCAATATCCTGACTTCGGGGCGAGGGCGACACTTGATGCTTCCAGTTTCTTGCTGCGTACATTGTATGAAGATAACTCAGAAAACGTTGTATTCGAAGTTTACTAAATATCTTAATGGCCTGAGTCACATGCAGTCCTCGACTGCCTATTTTTTAATTGTCAGGTAGAGAAAACGCATACAAACCTCCAGGCTATCACTACACAATATAATTATCGTAAATGTCAATCTTTTAAAAACTGTTTCCTCAAAAGATTGATTTTTATTTACATAAAAGTATTTAATTACACAGCTTTTTGACATCTCATGGCCCAAGAACRGAAACCTGCGGAACACCACCATRCAAGAACATGGATCTCAATTATCAAATTGAATAGAGCGCACATATTATTWAACCATGGTCATCTTAAAATSCGATCGTAATAATGTTAACCTCTTTAAAAGTCATGAATCCCTACCACAGTTTAATTTTTAACACTCAATACAAAAACTCCATGACAATTTCTGTTAATAATGTCACGTCAATTATGKTGCGCCACCTGCTCTTTCTTGCTCTTGTTATTATATGAATAGTCAAGAGAAGAAATCCTWATAATTAAGTTGAATTGCTTATCAGATCAGGCTTGCTACTTTATTTCTATATTTGAACAACAAAATCAAGACAGCTTTAGAGTAGTCAGGTCTTTTTATTGAAGAATTGTCTATCTTTCCTCGCAAATTATCTTAAAACGTGTATGGCAAACATCCATATAATAGATGCTAGCGGCAATTGAAAGGATTCATTAAACCTTGGCCATTTACTTGTGTTTTATGTTTCGCCGACAGAGCGCGTCTTGTTTTTKATATAAAGAATTTACGTATTTACATGCGTTGGGCACAATCAATGTGTGTACATTTTATGTACAGAGTATAATAGTACTTATAACCCTGGTGTTCACGATGTATGTTTATTATGATTGAGTGTTTCTTGCTCTGATTGCTCTGCTCAAAATACACTTGCTTGACTTCCTGTACTCTGGAATCCTGACAGCCAGAGCCAAAGCATTAAACGTTGGATAGATGTAAATTAAAGTTAGACTTATCTTGCCTAGAACAATCCGCCATCTTGTTTCTTCGTCTTTGCTTGAATCATAGAGGAAGACAAGCATTATGTGTGCATAGTAAGCAATTGCAGACACTACATAGGGCGTAAAGAAAGCTATTATTGTTTTAATRAAATTCGCAGCGATTTTTTTATTCCGCCTTTTCGTCATTTCGAGTTTTTCTTTCATGAAGGTASAGGGTGCATCTTGAATGGAATTGCCGTTTTTGGGTCGGCGAATTCGTCCATATGCCCGTAAAAAGACAGCAGAGTCAACAATAAGTGGAATCACWACAAAAACATGAACAAATATTATTGAATGTAGTTTCAAAGAGGAATTCAACGCTATTARACATTGGTATAAGAAGTCCACAGTGAAAATAACCACAAGGAAAATCTTTATGTTYTTYCTTGTGAATGTTTTTCGACTCCAATGAGGATTAGTGACTCCGCTAACTCCTTCAARTATCGATATTGTGTTAATCAAGCCGCAGTTTGAAAASAAGAATTGTGTGAAAGCTACAGTTRAAATCCGTAGAATTTCGCTCTTAATATCAGCTGTGTAGTTGAGTATTTGGTCCGTTATCATCAAAGGTGCTAGGAGAAATCCCATTAACCAAGCTGAACAAAAATGCCAGAAATCCAAAGCAATCTTTGGCCTGTTGAAGCTACGATGTGGRTCAATTRTAAGCGTGTACATCATCAAGCCATTGATGAAAATAATCGCGATTCCGAGTAATGATATGAAGAATATGTTAACRTAAGTGGCTTGTCGCTTGAAAGATAGAATCACCTCTTCCTGACTCGATGTATTGCTCATGTTGAGGGGTCTTGAGGGTGAGAAATTAGCTTCGTTATTCTGATCTTCTACTGATAGTCACTCAATCTCCTTTTCTTCTTTTRCAGTAGCGTTGTTCTTGCGCTAAAAGCGGAAACCGACGGATACCTTTCAGTTCATWTGGCGACAAGAGCTTCTCTGCCTTGTTTGCTTTTTGCTGCGCGCACTYAAATTTTAGTTTCACTTTGAWCTCYCTTTCTATCCGTTAATTGCAAATTAGTTGCATTTGAATCGATATAAAACTCCGTCAACAACTCAAGCTTGTTTATATTCGATTTATATAAACATGAATAGAAACAACAGTTTGATGTACAACGCCACAGGCTTTTGTTGTTTAAATCTTTGATGGTCGGATTCGGCGAAGCGTCTTTAGTTCAAGCCTTTTGTTCCACTTTTGCAAACAATTAAAAGGTAGTATTTCCCCGCCTCTTCTCTTCAAAACTTGCTCAGTTCTTGTTCATCAACATTTTATGTCTTCGTTTCTTCTTTTTTCTGCTCTTTCAGATAAAACGGCGCTCAATTCAATAAGAATGCACGCTCGTCGACGATGACTCGAATGATAACATAGTTATTTTTCTAGTTCTATAGTTGTACAATTAAGCAATGAACCACAAGTTCCATAAGGTGCCAGCAGACATTAAAAATTTGCTCGGCTTGAGGCTCTCGAGRCAAGGGAATCAATATTAAATTGACGATYAAAACTGCTWWKTCATTGCCCAGAAGTTGAAATAATCAACAACGGACCAATCACAAATTGTGTTTCATCTGATTAAACTAAGAGATTCTGACGAGAGACTTTCTAAGCAAATACTGATATTGAAATTAAAAGTGTTTGTTCCGGTTTCAGTAGATTGAATGAAACAGTACTGCATATGTATTCTCAAGACTTGTCAGAATGGAATTTTTATGACTTCCAGTTCAAATAGTGCCTCAAAAACCGAAATGATCCTGGATTTGGGTAGTGGCCTTAATAAATTTAAATCGCGCGCATAAATCAATCTTTGACACCCAAGTTCAAAACATGCATGACTAGGAAGCAAAATTATATTAAAATCGTCAAAAACGTAAAATTATAGTAACTAGACTTGTTATTCGCAAAGAACAAAGAGACGGACTGGACTAGAAGAGAAATGAAATTCACAGTGAAAGCCAAGAGTCATGAGTTTCTGAGTTTAACTGACCTTTCCTATAATTTTTCAAATCATGTAACTCTAGCTGTTTATTGTACCCGGGATTGTCATACGATACTTGACAGCCAACACACCTCGGTTCTGATAAAGTTTTTTTGACAATCCATTTCATTATGTAAATAATCAATTCAAATATGAACAATATTTTCTTTAAAATACAATTAATGCACTTAAATCTAATATCGGGTTCGAAGTGTAGAGTTGTCGCGATCTTATTTGTTGGAAAAGTTTGAAAAGAGCTCATTAGCGAGCCCACCATCACAAAAAAAACCTTTTCAAGAGTAGGTAAGTGTTTATTGTTTAGTTATAGGGAACTATTCGGGTCCATTCAGATCGTGAGAACTGTATATAGAGTTCCGGTTATTATATAAGCGATTTTTAATAACTTTTTAACCGCGCGAAAATAAATTAAACTACCCGCCATCAAATAAATTACCGTGGCCGCGKGAAGAGTGGTTTCAAGCAAACAGTTCCCGTCCCCTCCCCTGGTGGGTACTCCCACGCAAACGTAATGAATGATCGCCAGAGTTGGTTTTGATCTCTCAACCTTTCGTGATTCTACWTCCATTTTAAACCCACCAGAAACGCCCAAATTTTTCATGGATTAACATGAACTATCGAGGAATCGATYAGTTACAGTAAAAAAATGGCAGATTACGAATTTGACGATTCAGGCATCTATTCTTCGCGTCGACCTCTCGAAGAAAGATGGCCGCCTCTGGGAGCAGCGATGGACTCAAGCGTTCAAGAAAACGGCGATGAAAACAAAAAGTAAGCGATTTTTTACATCCACTATGTTAAATAAGCTTTATTGTTTTTAGCGGACTGTTTTAAAGTCAAGGGAAGTAAGATATAGAGTAAATTTTAAGTCTTATTTACGTCCGTTGGTCTATTCGCTTCATTTTTTCCGCGTCGCTTGTTCAACTTGTTTATGTCGTATTCAGACCTAGCAAAATATTATATTTCTGTCTTTCTTTGATATTTTCTTGTATTAATTTTATAGAATATACCTCTATTTATTGAACTAAGGATTTTTCTTCTTCAAAAACCATTTTCCAAATATTTTTTTTGCCCACGTTTTCCCGGGGCTCGTGCCAAGGCACTCGACGTAAGTTATAACATATGTTTTTGTTCGCTAAAATTAATCCAATATTGTATAGAGAAAAGAGAGAGAAAAAACTATCAATGTCTCATCCTCTTCCTTGTTTTGTATTGCATTTTGAACCAAAATGTTTTTTTCCTAAAATATACAAACAGGAAATATTTTTAGCACATTCTTTGCATCCATGTTTCCCTTGAAAAGAAAGAAAATGAAAAAAAAATTAGAAAACATCGGAATAACACATTTTCATATGTAAATTATTAGAAACTTCAATGTAATTTTCCAAAATTACATTGAGAGTTTAGATTACTCGAGTTTTTTCATGGTTTAGTGAATTTAATAAATAATTTATAGCTTAATGTACTTCATATATTTTGTCTTTTCCTGTAAATTGTGTAACGTTTTTGACATTTTGTATATCAAATCSACTCTTATGTAAACAACAACTAATTTGAACCAGGAAAAACCTCAGTTGAACTGTATTATATTTATTTTTGATAAATTTTAATTGGGATTTGTATTGGTATTKCAACATTGTGTGGTTCAATCAATTTACATAATTGTCAATAAGTGTGAACTGCTTTTGAAAAGTGATGAAAAATAACTTGAACAGTGGTATTTATAATATAAAGACAATAGCTGTGAACTAMATTTTGAACCAGTTGTCATTCCTTACTTTTAAATCTATGTTTTCTCCAACGCTGTATTGAAATWATCAAATGTATCATGTCAAAGTTATTTTATTACTGTAGCTCATATTTTATAAATCATTGCCAAGGTCTTAATATAATGACTCAATTCTAATTGGTTGAGAAGCAATRAATTATAATGTATTTTTAATAAATCAAACTTATTCAGTTTAGGTGGATAATACGGCATGCTGATTTTTAAAGCAATAAAAGACAGATTGTCATGGTTTTGTAAAACATTTCGGAGTGCATTTTTTGTTCTTTTTAATTGAACTGTATTGTACAATTTAATTATTTTTGAATATTTATTACATTCAATGCTGTATGATTCATAACATTGCAGTCATTAATTTCAATATTCTTAATTTTATTATAATTAAACTTCCACACAATTTTCTATCATTCTCAATAAATCTCAAGGTAATTTTAATTTTAATGAATTTTATTAATTACAGGTATTTAAAAATAATTAATAAAAATTCATTAGGACTAGATGAAGAAAGGAAACTACCTTTTCCCTACTACAGTTTTAATGTATGTGGTCAACATTTAAACAGAKATTAYACTACGTCAATATTATCTTTATTGYCCTGTCAATCATTGACATGACTAACATCTTTCTAACCAGTAAATTAACACACTCTTTATAATTCATCATGTGCAATAGCAACCAAAAGACACTCAATAGACCACTTACTTTTAAAAACAGCTGGAGTTTYCCACATTATTAATAAACATTCAAAGCCCATTTGAAAATCTCCTATCGTTGGAGTGYTKCTATAGTTACCAAGCATCTCTTGAAAAATGTCTGTGAGCTTAAAACACAAAAATACAACCAACATTGAAATTTGACTCACAAATGAGATGGTTAAGCACTTATAACCCAACACAAAGGAAAGCTGTTTTCTTCTTAAGGTGGATCATATTTAGTCTAAGACTTTACTGTAAATTGTGACAAACTGCAGTCTTTGAAAGCCATCTTGGTCAGTTTGAGATGAAGGTAACATTCATGCCWGRTAATGTGGTTATATTATTCTCCTATAAGTCAAGCTAGATTTGCTGTTGTTGTTTGCACTGTGTGTGGTTTTTGATTCACCTGAAAAATTGTATCAAATGGCTTATTATCAAAAAGTCTTGATTATAAAACAAGAAACTGCTTCCATTTTAGTATTTAGCCATTGTAGTCTCAATAGATTATMTAATTTATATTAGATTAAACAAAATGTTTCCTCTAAATGAACAATTTTTAGTGACTATTTCGTGTATTTGGGGTATATTTTAATTTGTTTTTCTTCTTTTTTCTCAAAAAACATTATATTCTTGTTATTATAATGGCTGCGTTTAAGGTGGCAATTTATCTCTTTTCATATAACTCACTTCACTGAAGTTTTTTCTATTGATGATGTTGACCTTTCAGTTACTAATAGTTATTCAATAAAAATGGCTTTTTCATAAGCATTCATAAGGAAAAAAATTATTATTTCATTATGATGTGCTTCAGCAAAAAGTGCTATAATGAAACCAAAATTAGTTTTATAATAAATGGTTTTAGTAAAATCCTATTAGAGACAGGAAGTTGCAGTCATCATTGTATGTATGTACAGAAAGGAAAGACTGAATGTGGTTACCAAACATTTCATAGCATCATTTCCCTCAACACCTTAACTTCAAATGAAAAAAATATTTCCACATTACAACAGCTGTCATTAAGCCACAACATACATTACGTGTGTTTGTTTCAAGGGAGGATTAATGTTAAAGCTGTATAACACAAGGTTAAACAACTTAATCTTAATATTTCATCTTCATGAAAATCTTAAATGGTGCCAGTGCATGAAGACTGAAGACAGTAACTCTACAATATAAATCCTTTAATATCTAGCATTCAATTAGGTGGCTAACTTTATCCTGATGGTTATAACTATATCCAACCTTTATACAACTGGCCACTTGAGTATTATTCGCATACAATATGAATTTTCTCAATTTTGTTATCAGCATGTTACATTTTGCTGTTTATAACTTAGTTTTTGTAATGTTTCAGATCAGATCATGTTAAACTACAAGAACTGGAGGAAGAGCATGAGGAACTGAACTCTTCCCTGATCTCTCTGACAAACCATTTTGCTCAGGTACTATAGACTACTGTACTGTGCCTTAGGGCTTTAAACCAAATTTAAGGTAGTCTTGGTGTGGGGTTTGTATAAAGCTTAAAAATCAATGAAACATATACTAATGTCAGAGATATTGTAATGTAGCTAGTAGCACAATGGATGCCAACTGCTAGGACTGTGTCAATGTAATTTTAAAGGCCTAATCTATAATATATGTTAGACTTGCTACAAGTCGGACTCTCTTTGAACTCGCAGAAAAAGAAATAATCGAACACCATGTCTGGGCAGATAATTTGATTCTTCTAACCAAACAAAAAATTGATGTCAGAATCATTGAGGAATATTTTAATCCTTTCAGTTCRAGCATTCAAAGAKTCTTTTTATTGCTCTTTCCCTGTGTTACCATAAAATATAGAATACATGGAGACATATTGTCTGCATGCTCTAGTGCCTGTGGGCTTACATTTGCTATTAATTTGCATTCGTCTTGATCTAAGATACACGGTGTATTTAAATGTGTTTTTAATGACTTTTTCTAGGTTCAGTTTAGATTGAAACAAGTTGTAGCAGCTCCTCAAGAGGAGAAAGAGGTAATTCCTTKCTTTCTACTCACTCTCATTCATTTACTCATCCATTTCTTTCTGCATTTCATTTATCCATCCAATCCATCAATCACTCCATATTTAATATCTAAGTATCCATAATCCATTCTTTATTTTAAAATTGTCCATCTATAAATCCCTTGCATTCATTTTGTATTTGAATTACCTAGATTTTCATTGTCCATCTATCCCATTTGTGAAAAAAAGACTGTAAAAAAGTAGATGAAACAACTTACTGAGACGTTTCGGATGTTAATCCTTTGTCCGAGTAAAGAGATTAACGGGATTAATAAAATTCATTAAAATTAAAATTACCTTAGTTATGATTCATTGAATGATAGTTAATTATGTGGTCAACTTTATTAATAATCTTGGAAACAGTTACTCAACTCAGTAAGTTATTTCATATACTTTTTTACGGTGTTAAATTTATCTTTTTACACAACTGTTTCTTAATCTACTGCTAGTCTCCACCGTCTATCCCATCGTTTGTGCTTCTACTCATTCATAAGTACATTGTCATCCTTTATTCCTTTTATCCCGTTTTATTCTGTTTTTTTTTTTCGTTTCTATTTTATTCACTCTMTGATTATTTCTCGTTTCTTAGAAACTATTGTTGGCCCTGGAGGACTTTGCTTTTCAAGGGTGNTTAAATCAGCATTCAATTCGGTCGTGCTTTATATTTTTCATTTGTAGAATGAGGTGACTTCAAATATCCATTCACAATCCATCCCCATTCGTCAGTTTTAAGATCGAATTTTAGTGCAGCAACCTATATGAATGAATCTTTTCCTAAATGGATTCATACTAAAACTGTTTCTGTTCCTATCATACTCCAGGCATGAGTGAAGCTTTAACTTACCTGGAGCGACTTCAACCATTCGACTTCCATCTGCCTGAAGACCTCGCTATACGACACCTCACTAAAATCAACGACGCATTYGGCGAACCCTGAATTACAACTTAGTAGATAATTAAGAGAGATGAAATCCATACAGAATATATGAATAATTATTATCAAATATTTAATTARATTATTACTATGTACAGTTAAGTAATTGTGGCGTCACTATAGTGGCGTTCTATAGACGATAAGCAGCGACGCCATTTTGTACAACAAACTCCCTAAAAAAGGTTCTAGGTTTACAGCACAACTACTTCTATATTTACAAATAAAAAGAAAGAACTTTGGAGGACTGTTTAGCGAACATGAAAAAGTGCGAGGACTACAACTCCCATCATGCTTTGCTGCACAAAATGGCGTCACTGCTCATCGCCTATTGGTCGGTATTATTTTTAATGAATTATGACGTCACAAGCGTTATTCCATGGGTATAGAATGGATCAAATATTGGATTTTTCAGTATCGAAGGGTGAAATAATTTTTATCTATTTTTACCCGTTTTATTGAGATTTTCTTTGTCAGTTTGACTGTAGCCTGCGTACATCCGGGTGTTTACGAGTAAACGGTGGATGAACTCGGGCTTGTTTGACTGTCAATTGTGCGAAATGTCCCCTCATTTTTGTTGTAAAACTCAGTCAGTAAAAATACGCTAGAAATTGTGTATATAATAAAGCGAAGACTGAGGAAAAGCTTGCAAAATAAGGAATATTAAAGTGTAATACGATAAAGTATATTTCATAGTCTTATGAAAACCGCTTTACTACAAAATAGAAATATAATTTATGTATTCTTATGACATAGATCTCGCTTGTTTATTATCCCTAAACCAATACTAATTCAAAAATAATCATAATATTTTCATTTTACCAAAAAATCCCTGCTCTGAAAGACCAAACACTTCAAAAAGTCAAAAAAAGAAGCGTTTTTCCCAGTCTTTTTTTGACCGAAAAAATTATCTAYCAAGACTTTTGACAGGAGCTGGCGGCGCGAGGAGTTTGATGTGATTATAAAATGCGCTTTATTCTGCTCGTTGTCTTTGTGGTATTTCTTTGTACGTGTTGTTTGGGATATCAAGGCTGCCTGCCCGGTCAATATGGGAACACTGGCTACAATTTTAGTAAGTTCTTGTCGCTTCACAGAAGTTTATACGAGAWKKWA